TGTTCTTTCGGGAGATATGCCGCAACGCTTTCCCATGTGTGTTGCTTCGGGGACAATGTGCTGGCGGCTGTGCGATTGCCGAATGGAAGGAGAGGACCGGGATGGAAGTGCGTGAGCGCGGCGGTCAAGGGTCGCGCTGGGTGTCTCGCCGCGGAGGGCATTGCCCACCCAACCCAGCACTGCTCCTGTCGGGCACACTCTCTCTCACTTCGCAACATCTTAGCCGACGTCACCAGCACGCAGAGAGGCAGCGGATGCCACCACAGCCACGAGTGCGACCGGAGGGAACATGTCTGCTGTTGCGTTCCGAGGGGGTCACACCGTGTGGCACAGCGACGTGCCCAAAAACCTCCTCGCGGAGTCCATACACGACACCGGGCAGTGGACGCGGAGTGTTTGCGTCGTGGAGGACACCGCGGTGGAATCCCTCCTTCCCTCCGGGTGGACGGTCGGCTGATTTTCCTCTCGTTCTTACCCATGAGGTTTTTTTTTCTTTTTTAGTTTAAGAACTCTTGCTGTGTTGGGGCGCGGGTTTGGAAATCCCATCACCTTTGATGGTGGGCTTGTGCTTCCGTTCGGTCTTTCTCCTTTACCACATTGTCGCTTTCTAAATATTTTCTGATGGCGAGCTGTGTTGCAGAAGACACGCTGAGGCGCTGGGCTTCATTATCGATTCATTTATTTGTTTATTTTTTTTTTTTGTACCTGGTGCGGTTTGAGGTGTCTCTGATGACCTTCCCACATGGAGGGCTTTATTGGGGCGCTCGAGCCTTTTTGTGCGGACGGAAGGCCAAGGACGTTATCCATGCGTGGCCATTGCGCTGGAAGGAATCTTTTTTTTACACATTGACACGGAGCCATTCCTGCGCACCATCTTTTTTTTTTTTACTCCTTTTGCTTTCTTTAAGGAGATGCTCCCTTGGCTTTGCCTCCAACGGGATATGCGCGGAGTTAGACGCGCTTTAAAAACCGAGGCCACGAGCCTTTTTTGGAAAGGGTGCTTTATCTCTCTTCTAACATTAATTAGTTGTCCATGTTGATGTTTTTTTTTTGCAGTGGAGTTCCTACTTGGCGACGATCCCACGTATGGTTTGGTGCTGATCCGACCAGGGCGGACTATATCCACTGCGTCGGGGAAAGGCTTCTGGTGGATCCAACGACACGGCGGCTGGGGGAAATAACGGGACGGTTGCTATCCCGTTGATGGTGGTCCCGCTGATGCTCGATCTGATGGACTTTCGGAGGATGATGTGCAACATCAGTGTGCCCATCCGGCTGTTGGTTTTGGTGCAGAACGGGCGGGAGGCGATGCTGTCGTTGTGCCTGCAGGAACTCGAGAGGGTCTATGGGTGGTCCGGACGGCTGATTGTGAGTCGTCACCCGGAAAACATCGGGTACAGCGCTGCCGCGAACATTGGGTCACGACTTGCACTCTCGCTGCCGCGCGAGTAGGTGCCTTTTGTTTTTGTCACAAACAGCGACGTAATGTTTTCACCCGATCTTCTTCCCAACCTTCTACGCGATGTGCATGGAATGACGAGGCATGATGCCGCTCGCATGGATGAATTGGCGGCGGAGGTGGCGAATGATCCGAGTGGGTACAGTCCTGTTTTGCGACGGGGCTTGAGGGTGCTGCGCTCCACGGTGAATGATGGCCGATTGTCGACGTCTGCGCTGCTCCCTGACCGCATCCGTTATGCTTCTGTGAAGGAGCGTGGAAAGATGTTTTCGAAGCATTACGGGCACTTCTGCGCATATTACAAAAGCAGTTGTTTTACATCTGTTATGTTGACACGCCTGGCGATCGGCACTGTGGGATATTTTGACGAGAACTTCTACCCAGATTGCGTGGAGAATGTTGACTACAGCTTGCGCCTCCGTTTGCTTGGATTTCAGGAGCGGAATGTCTTATACGGCAAATTTGTGCATCGCGGCAGCTCGAATATTCGTTTCTCTAATGAAATGGAGCCACCTGACGCCCTCTGGTACCGTCGCGTCAACTCTTTGATGACGAACCAACCATATGCCATGATGAAGTGGAACCGTCCACGGGCGTGCAGTGGCGGGTGCAAGGAGCCATATAACGGCATGGTCCCCGCAGACGTTTGGGTGAAGGATGAGGCACGCATACAGCGCATTCGGGCCTACGGGCATGATGAGATCCGAAGAGTTCCAAGTATTGACTACGACAGGAGGCTTTTGTACCCTGTGAGGACTAAAGGAAGATGATTCAGCAACAAACACAAGCTTTGCTTTCTTATTTTGTTTTGCTTCAATTTTTAAAAATTTACACCTCTGTTTGGTTATTTACACGAATGATATTTAAGCGAGTACGCCGTGGATTTTAAGAGCGTAAACGTATATTTGGCATGACAGGGGAGGGCGCAGAGTCCAAACGCGGCCGTGTTGCCGAGGGTAGGAGAGGGCGGAAGCAAGCAGGAAAAATGATGGATGATGGAGAAATAAAAGGGGAGGGAAGCAGAAAACAAGTCAAAAATATTGTGGGCAGACGTTGTTTCTCACGGCGGGCGATCGACGCCCTCATTGGCTACTAAGTTACCCACTGAAGGTGACACACGTTTCCGCTGGATATGCTGCGTGCATATCTGTCGGGCTCTTTGTTTGTTCTGTTGGTTTGTTTGTCTCCCGCGCATTTATTTCTCCGTGCCGCCTGACTCATTCGTTTATTGTTTCCCTCCCTGTTTTTGTGCGTGCACCGAGAGAAGGGCTCGGGGACATGAAGTGCGCTCCCCTTCTGTGACATGCCACCAAAAACAGGAGGAGAAAAAAAAAGTGAAGCGGGGAGGGGAACCATCGCCACGCGTCCTTTTCCCCGAGAAAGCTGCTCGCCACTCCACTGAGGCGCGCCGTGTGCTTCACGAGGCCTGCTGGACTCGATTGGGGAGCCATGAATGATGGTGCGTGAGAGTGTGGCGGATGCGTCCCCCAGGCATCCCCAGAGGACCCTCTGGCCATAGGGACTGCGTGGAATGCGGGATTCCGCGGGGCCCTTTGCCCGTTTTGTTTTTCCTTTTCTATCCGCCTCTCCCAAACTTCAACACGGCGGCTGATCCAACGACTGTGACTGGATCCGTTGCGCATTTCTGAATCTTTTTTGCGTTGCAGCGGCGGGCCTGGTGTGTCCTGCTTGGCAGACACGGTGGGCGGGAGTGGGCTGCCCTATCGGGAAAAAGATGGTCACGGCGGAGCGTGTTGCGCACGTCGCAATTTGGCGTGTTTGTGGCGATCCTTGCGGATGATGTGACGGCGCTTGTTTTACCTGCAGGGATAGAAGCGATGCTCCACGGTGATGCACACGTTGCGTGTGGAGGCTTGTCTTGCTGTTATTCTGTGAACGTTTTTTCTTTCACTTGAACACCACAGAGGGCGGTGTCTGCGGACAGCAGAGCATTGCGAGGAGGGGCATCACCCGATTTTTGGCTTGACGAGGCGGCTTCTGTGACTTTACGGTGTTTATTTTTGGGACTGAGAGACGATCCCTTGCTGGAATGTATTGTGTGAGAACATCCGTGTGTTTGTTTTTTAGTTAATCCCTTGACATTTGGTGTCTGCCGTGGAATGGATGTTGATGGCCGTTTTATGGCGGCTAGATGCGTCTTTATTTATTTAATTGGCGAGTGGGTGAATTGTGTTGCGTTCTGCCATGCGGCTTGTTGCTGAGGGCGAGTGGCCGCAGGGAGACGTTGTGAGCGCCTCCGACGCGAGGTACGATTGAGCAATCATCTCCTCCGTTCGCCGGTACACGCTGTTGAGGCGGCGTGATGGTAATGAACCGGCTTCCCAGAAAAGCAACAAGAGGACGTCTGCTCCTCCCGCTGCGGTTTACGAGTGGACTCTACAATCCGTGGGCGGGGTCGCTCTGCGTGCCATATTTCTTTGAATTTCCATGAGTTTTGCACATGACCATCCACACGCACATGCACGCAATTCCCCTGATTGCCCTCCTGTGGGCGGGAGACCGGGATGCAAAGGGAAAAATGTGGCTTGTGCCAGCATGTGTTAAAGTCTTTCTTGGGAGGGATTGCGACTGTGATGTCCGTCCTGGCAGGCAGGAATGGGATGAGAGGGGAGCGGAGGGGCGGGTAACAACGATCGTGTGCGGGGCAATGCGCAGTGAGTAGGGCGGAGCGGTTTTTATGTTGACTTTTCAAAACATTTTTGTCGTTTTCTTGTGTGACGATGGAAAGAAACTTTGGGTGGTGTGTTGTGGATTATTTGCACATGATTCAGCGCGGCAACACTATTTGCGGAGAAAATGAATGGCATCTGCGTGAGGCTTGTTTTTTGCGCGCGAGATGGTCGGGGAGGTGCTCAACGCTCCGAGAGGCCAGGAGCAAAGAGGCCTGCACTGCTGCAAGCAGAGGGATGCACGCTCCTGTTGGTGGCGTTGCTGTGGAGCCCTGAATGGCCTGCAGGGAATTTGTTTCCGCCGCCTCATTATTTTGTTGATTGGTGCTTGCCGAGGCCTTTTGAGGCGGGACGTGGGATGGACCGAGAGAGCGTGTGCCGTGTGACTGTGCTGTGAATTGGTGCTGCCCACGTTTGTGCACATATTCTCGTTTGTGTCCGTGTTATTGCTGCGGCGGTGCACCGGGAGCGTGTGACTGATCACTGCATCACTTGCGGACTGTTTCGGCAGGGCCTTGAATTGCGTCGCCGAATAATAAAACTCCGCTTGCATGTGTGTGTGTGTGTGTGTTTGTTTTGTGTTTGGCTTCCGCCGTGTTTCGCCGTTTTTTTTTTCTGTGTGCAATTGTTTTCCATGCTGTTCCTTCCGGATTCTCTTGTGTCCCACTCTTTGCATGGGTGCTCTGCTCTGCTCCCCACTGACGTGTCTGTTTACTTGGCTTGTTTTCTTTTCCACTTCTTGAACGCAGACACGCTAGGAAAGAAAGCAACCAAACGCGAATCGCTACTGTGAAATCCGAAGGCACTGAAAGGACCAACAGCACACACACCGCCCACACACACATATTTATATGCTCTTACGTGTTGCTGCAGTGAAGGCACCCCGCACACACAACCGTCGCTGTGTGACCGGATCCAGCGGAGGGAGGAGGGAAGGAAGAGAGGGTGAGCCGCAGAGGCCCAACATGTCCCGGCGTGTGTTTACTTCCGCCGCGTTTTTCCTCGTTGCGATGGTGTGCTGCGTTACCGGTTGGGCTGCGGCTGCTGAGGGCAAAACAAGGAATACCATTGATCTGTTTGAGGGGACGCCGCCGATATCATTTGGTAATTGGAAGGAGTTGAAGGCGGAGGGCAGCAAAATCACCTCGCTCCGTGTTCCTGGCCTCGTTAAAGTGGGTGATGATGTATTTGCCGTTGCTGAGGCGCTGTGTGGGGAGAAGGATGGAGCCGGCAGCTGTCCTGGGATTGTGTCAAAGCACCTGAATATAAGTGATGACTCAATGGATATTTCGACGTCGGATATAAGTTTGTTTTGCATGCAACTTGTGGACACCGCCGCGAATAATTTTGGGACAACGGAAGTTTTGCGACCAACGACACTTGTAATTGGGGAGAGTGTCTACATGCTCCTGGGAAAGCAAAGCCGTACAGAGCAGCAGGTTGAAGGTACGAATGAGCGGGGTCTTTTACTCGTGAAGGGAACTGTCACGGTGGATGGTGGAAGCAACAAGAAAATCAAATGGAATGAGACACATGTGGTGAGGCCTGAACCCAAAGGAGAATCTCATTCCTTGACCGAGTTAATTGGCTGTGGAGGATCGGGTGCTGTGATGGATGACGGCACGCTTGTGTTTCCCATGCAGGCCAAAGGCAAGGATGGAACGAGCGTTTTGCTGTCTATGCATTTCTCCAAGTCGGAGAACAAATGGGAGCTTTCATCCACGACGCCTGGTAACGGCTGCAGGGATCCAACCCTGGTGAAGTGGGAAGACCAATACGACGAAAGACTCTTCATGATGGCTCGTTGTGCTGGAGGCTACTATGACGTTTACAGGTCCACTGAGAATGGAGTTAGTTGGTATACGTTGGGTGAGTCAATTAATCGTGTCTGGGGCAACTCACACAATCGAACAGGGTACGGCGTCCCGAGTGGATTTACCACCGCAACCATTGAGGGTAAGGAGGTGATGCTCATCACCGCGCCGGTGTATTCGAAGGACAACGAAGGTGGAAAGGGTCGGCTTCATCTTTGGGTGACGGACAATGCACGTGTGCATGATGTTGGACCGATATCCCGTGAGGGTGATTACGCTGCCGCCAGTTCTCTGCTGGTGAAAAGTGAGGATGAGCTGATTTTACTGTACGAGAAGAGGAATGGTGACAGAGCATACAGTCTTGTCGCCATGCGCCTGACTGAGCAGCTGGAGCGGATAAAGTGTGCGGTGAAGACATGGAAAGAATTGGACGACGCCCTGGGGGTTCCCACTGAAGGGCTGGTTGGTTTTTTATCCAGCACATTGGACGGGACTGCATGGAGGGACGAGTACCTCGGCGTGAATGCCACAGTGGGGGACGGAGTGACCAGCACGGAGAGCGGTGTGACGCTCAAGGGATCAGAGGCGAAGTGGCCTGTTGGCGACATGGGGCAGACTGTGCCGTACTACTTTACAAACAACAAGTTCACTCTTTCGGCGACGGTGGTCATCCACGAGGTGCCGGAGGCAGGCAGCAGCCCCGTTCCTTTGATTGGTGCGAGGCTGAACGACACGGCCAGCACGGTGCTCTTTCAGCTGTCGTACACGAGTGAAAGAAATTGGAACCTCACGCTTCACAAGATGGATTTTTTGGTGAAGCCGTCTGGTGATGTTGGCAATTGGGAAACAAACACGGCAATTCGAGTGACGGTGCGAAAGAATAACGATGATGAATGGTTTGTGTACGCTAATGGGAGAAGAATATACGAGACGGATGAAAAAGAAATGGCTAAGCACCGTAACACTGATCAGTTCGGTCCACACAGGATCTCACACTTCTTCTTTGGTGCGGGCAATAAGGAAGATGAAGGGAACAGCCATGTGACGGTGGCTGATGTCCTTCTGTACAACCGCATACTGTATCGTGATGATCTCGGAAACCTCAACGCCAGGACAGTCCCTATTCGACATCCGGCTGCCGAAGAACTGCACACTGCGGTGGAGGTCACGGCGACGGAGGAAGAAAAGCAGAAGGTCAGGCAGCTGACGACTTCCCTGGCAGACGTTGAAGATCCTCGAATTGCACAGCCGACTAACTCTCAGTCTGTCCGTGTTCTTGCGGGCAGTGAATCGAGTGCTGAGAATGCTGAGGACGAATTGCGTCCACGCACTGCCGCTACAAATGACACTTCCGTTCCAGGAACCAATCACTCAGCTTCCGAGGGCAGTATGAGTCCAAAGGACCGCCTCGCTCTGATCACCGACGCGAAATTGATCCTGCATGATTTACGTGGTGACAGCACTGCGCGTGTGTGCGTGTCTCGGGTGTTGCTGCGTCTTCTGGGGCTGTGTGCACTTGTGGCAGTCTTGTGAGCCGAAGAATGTGACATTGCGATTCCTCACGGGGATTGTGTGGCGCATTCCCCGCGGCTTCTTCTTTTTTCTTTCTTTTTTTTTGTAATACTCAGTAATTCTTTTATTCTTTTTTTTTTTTAATGTTTGGTTGCTGCACACTGTTATGAGTGATGTGTTTCCCCCTCTTGTTTTGTTGTTTGTTGCCCACACGCGGTGCCGGCCCTGCGGCTGTGCGCCCCACGGATTGCACAAAAGGAGGATTGGAAGAAAGGCCGGATGCCGCAATAAAAGTGAGGGATGTTGTGTGGGCTGGTGGAGCAGCAAGGTCTTTACTTTACATTTCTTTTTTTCATTTTTTTTTTATTCTTGGTGCGGGTAATATTTATACAGAACACACGGTCTTCTTTATGCTGGACCGGCACATGAAGCAAAAGTCCTGCCGAATCAACGTTTTTTTTGCTTTTTTTAAATATTTTTGGGAGTTTTTCTGAACTCCTACCCTTTTGTTTCTTTTTTCTTTTTCTTAAAAATCCCTGCGGACTTTTTTTTTCTTTGTGCCATGTCCACTGCCACTTTGTGTCCTTGTGTCCCTTTTCTTGTCCCTCTGCTTACCGTGCTGTTGAAATGCCCCTATCGTCTCTTTCTTTTTTTCCCCGCTAGAGGCACCGATGTTCCGCGACGACGATTGTTTGTGTTCGCCTTTTCGATGTCAATAGATTGGCTGGACGTCGTGCTCCCGCCTGTTGAGTGCGCTCGGAGGGGAGCGGATGGTGTGCGCCGTGCCTCACTGTGAGTGCGGGGCGCCACCCGCCACAACCTGCTGTGGGGCGTAATTCCAATTTGTCGGGGCGGAGGGAAGTGAAGGACAGCGCCGTGGACTTGCATACGCCCCGTCCCTCTTTTTGCGGCCGTGGGTGCGCTGTGCGCACGGCACTATCTTGCGGTGCGACGTGGATGGCGGTGCTTCTGCGTGCGTTGTGCGGCGGGCTTTTCTTCCCCATGTCTTTGCCCTTTTGTGTGTGGGAAAGTTGTAGGAGAGGATGTGTGTGTGGGTGGCTGCCAGCCTCGCCCCGCGCATTTGGGCCTTACATACACGTGGCTTTGCTTGACGGCGTTTCGCGGCACCCAGGGCGTAGCGAGGAGGAGGATGGGGAGGGCCTGTTGTGAGCGGAAGGAGGATGGATAGGACAGTCCCCTTCCGTGTCCTTCCCTGTGTCGTTGGCAGTACATACTGAGAGCGTAAACTTGAGCAAGTGCGGGATGAAAGGTTTATGCCGCTTTGTGTGTGCTACTCAGTCCTCGTCATTGCACGCTGTCGTTACGCTGCGTTGTGGTGCGGTGCTGTTTGATGAGGGAAGGGTGCGATGCCACGGCCGCTGCGCACCACAACTATTTATTGTCTCTGCATCGGGATTTTTTTTTTCGGTTTGTGTGGCTTGTTTTAGGAGCTTGTGAAAAGAATGATCGCTGGAGAGCTGGCTAGCTTAATTAATGTATGTGTATATCCTGATAAATGAATGCATTCTTTATGATACTCTCTACCGTATGAATATTTCGGGAAGAACGCGACTTTGTAGGGGCGGGAACCGATAGAGGCCGGATAATATTTTTAATTTTATTTTTTACAGACACATAGCCAGGTAAG